TTATACCAGGGGTAGGCAACCTAAGGCCCGGGGGCCGGATGCGGCCCCCTGAGGCCTTTGGACCCTTGAGGCCTTTGGACCGCCACTGCCGCCGCTCGCCATGATGATATTGATTATTGTTGTTATTACTTGTTCTTGGGGTTTTCTTGGCAAAATCTCCACAGGGGTTTTGCCATGGCTTTTCTGGGGCTGAGAGAGAGTGTGTGTATATTGCTTTAATTTTTTGTATTATTTATTTATTTATTTATTTATTTTTTGTGCTTCGGCCCCCCAATTGTTTGAAGGACAGCAACCCGGCCCCCGGCTCAAAAAGGTTGCCTACCCCTGCTTTACACTTTTATAAGTAAATATATGCCGGCACAGTTTACAGCTATGCTGCAGCACTGATTTTGCAGTGAGCACAGGATGACCAGATGTCCTAACCAACAGGATTCTGAGCACATTACTCATCTGGCACACACAAATTACAATGGTATCTCTCATTGCTATTTTACAAAAATGTTATTGGACTCTCACTGCCTTGCAAGCATGTTAGGGGGTTGATTGTTACTTGCAGCATGTTATTTTCAAGCTCTTTCTAGGAAGTTTCAGACGGCGCTTATTGCAAAACACATTTATGATGTAAGAAGTGTACCTGTGCGTGCCCTCCAAAATTTTGCAGATGAAAACTGGGACATGCATGGCCAAACAATATCAGAGTGTGGTCAAGATAGAAAAAGTTATTAATGAGGAACAATGTGCAAAATAGGAGGGTATGCAGCAGTTTGCTTTTGCCTGGGTCTGCATTGTTATTAATGAGGAACAATGCGCAAAACAGGAGGGGATGCAGCAGTTTGTTTTTGCCGGGGTCTGCAGGGAAAGGGAAGATTTCACCCCACCTTTCCTTTCCCCCCTCCTGAGTTAGAGCACAAACTACTTTTGCACTTAGGGTGCATAAACTGTAGAAATCATGCAGTTTGACGCCACTTTAATTGCCATAGGTCCATCCTACAGAATCCTGGGATTTGTAGTTTTGTGAGACACCAGCCCATTTTGGCAGAGAAGGCTAAAAACATTTCAAAACTTTAAAAAAAAGTGGATTCCATAGGATGGAGCTACAGCACTTAATGTGGGATCAAACTGCGTGATTTCTTCAGTGTATTTGCATCCTCAGTTTGCAGGAATTGAAGGAAGCTGAAGATCAAGAGGGAAAGTGGGAAGAGGAGAGAAAAACTGGGATTTTTTAAAAGCAGCTGAAAAAAAGTTAGAAAAAAAGGTTAATTGGGACTGTTCCTGCCAAGCAGGCTACCTGGAGGATATGGCTCTGACTTTTTAACACAATAAACCCTTCTCCTCATAATGTAATTTTGAGTGAGTCTCAGTATTGACTTACGTCTCCTCAAATGTAATTCTGAGTGCACCTAGAACATAGATCTTAAGTTCTCCCACATTCCTGTACCATGTTTTGGTCTCTATCTAGCAGTGTACCAACATCAATCTTGCCTGCCAGCAATCCTCCAGTCCTAGGACGTTATCACACGGGGCCCAATCCAAACAAAATCCACAC